GCATTCTTCATCTTTTAGTGGATCATGGTTTTAAAATTGAAAAACCTGTTGTGGACAATTCTTTACCCCTCTAATCTTACCTTTATAAATATAAATCACATTGATCCCCCCAAACTGCTTTTTTGCACAGAATTCCAAATTTCCAGCATTGTCACATAAAAAGATAATTTGGAATGCCTTCAGGTAGAAGTATATGTCAACGGCAGGGTGCACAAAGCTAGTAGTTTATTGTAGAGAAATCACTGTATGAGTACTCCAGTGTTTGCATCACCATTCTATCTTATAAAAAGTCAATAAAATTAGTTTATTATCAATGGCTGCCACAATCAGGTTTCGTCTCACAATATTCATAATAAGAACTAATTCAATCTGCTCCTTGCACTGTTCTAGTCACTTTGAGTGTTTGTCTTTTTAAATTCTGATAGAAATATGTACTGTCATTATTTCCATTTCACAGGTAGTGACACAAAATCCTAAAGCAATTTGGTAATCTTCCAAAGATCACAGAGCTACTAAGTGGTAGTAATATAAGCAATGAGATACTAGACAGAGAGAAAGAGCAACTTTTTAATTTTAGCTGGAGGCTTATTTGATGAACTATATGATTAAGTGTTCAATTCTTTTGAAAAGTGAAAACAAACAATATTAAATACTGTTAAAGATAGGAGAACAAAGGTAAGACAGAACTAAAAATATTTTTCAGCCCTTCAAAGTGTCAATTTCTTTCTTTCCTTTTTTTTTTTTAACAGATACTTCTTGCTAGTAGTTTATTGAGAACTAACTCTATTAGGTAAGGTTGAATGACAGGGAACTGTCAACATTTGACAATACATTTTTTCACCTACGAACACAGCAGTTTCAGATGATTCAATCTAATAGCTTATGGAACTGACTTAAATCTCTCAAGCACCAACCAAACCAATTTGCTTGGACACATCCCAGCAGCCTTTTCTTCTTTTCTTTTTAAATTTTGTTTTAAACACACAATCATTACACATATTTATAAGCTATAGTGTGGTTTACATATACATATATATGATGTTTCTCAGTTTTTCCATATGCAAAATGTAGATAATTTTCCTGAACCATGTGGGAGATTGGGTACACACTGGATTGAATTCTGTGTTACAGTGGATTTTCCTATTCTAGACCCTGTTGTTCTCACCCACCTTCATAATTCCACAAAAGACAAAAACCACACAACATGACATGGAAGCAGACAGGCTATTATATATTTTCATAATATAGAACTTTAAGGTATAGTAATCAACAGTGGCAAAATATTTCTGTCTTTGACATTATTTTTTTGTGAGATCCAACCTGTAATTGAGACCAGAGAAAACAGTATGGAAAAACAAATCCATGAGAACAGGATTAAAAAATATCATGAACAGCAAAATATGTCTGAGTATTTAAAACCGTATAGAAAAAATAAATTAGATGAACAATTGTGTAAATATAAATTAAAAAGATGACATTCTTAATAAATAAAGTTTACTATTTACATTTTTATATATTGCTGAAAGATTTAACTTAGATCCATAAAAACACATAAACAGGAAAAATAAAACCCAAAATAGGAGCAGCAAATTTATGCGCGTGAGGTACAGAAAAAGGATTGGAATTGTGTTTAGTTTTTGGTGTTTAGATTATTTTCTTTCTATTTTTTTTTTCCTTTTTTTACAGTAGGCCAGTAGAATTCTCACTAGAATAGATTTTAAGCACTTCAGTGGAGATTCATTTTTTTGGTAGGTTTCCCGAAGGTGCCAAACAGATTTCAACATCATAATAATTAGAAATACCCATAATAATTATAACAATAATAAAAAGGTATAATATGATACATAAATATGGAAGAGCAGTTTGTAATATGAATACATTTTCTCTAGACGAGATCACAGTTTTATTTTGTAAATATTACATTTAAGTATATATATACACACATATATGTACAACTATATATACATGTGCATATATATGTAAATTTATATTTATATATAATATCTTTATATAGATAGATATCTGCAGACAGGTTATTGATTATAGAGACCCAAGAAAGCAACTCAATAATTGTTCAAAATTCTCCTCACTGACTGCTGGTGTGTAGTTTAAGAAGCCCCGAGATATTTCTACTCAGAATGCCATATCTTCTTTTAATGGAACACTCGATGTGGATTTTTAACTCTGAGGAGGGAGGAGTCTACTGAAGAAGAGATGTTTGAGACTCCTTTCCTCTGTAAGTTGGAAATGGCCTGGAAGTCTTGAATAAACAACAGTAAACTGACTTTTACACTGGAGGAAGTAATTGGCTTTTAATCAAAAATCATTGAACTGGTGAAGGCCAGAATAAGAAAAGAAACTAAAATTTACCCAAGAAGTTCAGTGTCACCCAATACACTCTCTTAAGGTGGATTCTGATCCAGGAGTCCCAGCTTTATGTCTTGAAATATCAGACAAGTACTCCCCATCTTTCTCAAAAGGCTAATGGGCCTGCGTGTTCTTGGAAAGTAGCCTGCGGACTTTACCTTAAGCCTTGACTCTCACGGAATGCCACAGCCCATTCAAACCTCAAAGCCTCACAATCCTCTGCCCTCCCACTGTGAGGTAGGTAAGTAGTTTGATCCCCATTTTGCAGCTAGAGAAACTGAGGCAAATGTAGAGGCAATTTGATGACTTGTTCAAGATCACTGACTGAACTGCTGCTGGGAGTCAAGAATTCTAGGTTCTTTATGCTGACTATAATTCCTCTCTTAGTTATTATATATTTCTCTCAAAAAGCAAAAAAAAAAAAGGTAGTAATTTGGCAAAACTTGAAAAATTACAAGAACAGGCATTTTGCTCATTTGCTATTTAATATATATATATATTTGTTGGTTAGCTTTGTTTCTTAAAACACACTGAAACTACCTGTCTGGTCATGTAGCAGCTTTTTGGGAAATTGGACTGTGCAGTGTAGTCTGAGTGCAGTCTTTATAAAGCCCAGTGCTATACCAGCAAAGATAGACATCTCGTAACTTAAAAGCACAATGATGCAATATGTCCTTTGAACATTTGGTAAAACCAATTATCGAGCCCTCCCTACTCGCTAATGTCACCGACTGCCACCGAACCAATGAACAAAATGCACCCCCTGCAACAGCAACATATCAGAGGGGGAGATGCCATATTTCCTGGACCTACCACAATGTATGGAAAATAACAGACGGGGCATTATAAAATCCCACTCTATGTCTTCTAGGGAAATATTTATGCTGTATCTACCTACTCAGTCTGTAGAATAAACAATTTTCCTTTAGGAAACATAAAAATAGGGTTTTGATCATGCATTTTAATTTCTTTTTGTCTTATTGTCTTCTATTAGTTTCTATCTGTACAGTTTTGTCACCATCAGTTTCTTCTGTTTCTTTTCTCATTTGAAGTAGCTCCAGAAAAAAATAAAGAAAAAACCCACACAAATGTCAAAACTGTTAGCTTGACCTTATGATTTCCGTTTTCTCTCTTTCCTTTTCTCTTTTTCCCTTTCTTTCTTTCTTTCCTGCCTTCCTTCCTTCCTTCTTTCTTTCTATTATTTTTTTAAACACAGGTAAGACCTATAACAAATTGACAGTTACAACCAAGTTAAATCAAACCTGGAAGGGAGGTAGCTGAAAATTGTCCCAAATAATTATTTTCAACAAGTAACATTTAAGCATCGGCCAAAGTAGGAACAAGACCAAGAGAACTGTCTAGGCAATGACCCAATGTGCCAAAGCCAAGAGTAGCAGCTGATACCCTCTGTCTCCGAAGGCCTGCTATTGATGACCATGAATCTCTCCCTTCCTTCACACCCCAGTCACTTACTCAAACTGATTTCTCAAGCACAGTATGCCTTTACAAGGTTTTTTGGCACAGAATCTGGGTGTAATGCAAGTATTCTGGGCAGGCAGTTAAAGTCATGGCTTGGAAAGGCTTCCCAAGATGAAGCTTAGAGACACATCCATTTCATCCTTTTTCTCATGGAGCTGATCAGATAGTGCTTCTTCAGATGCAGAACTCCCGAGTGTTCTAGGCCCCCTAGCTGCCGATACACACAGTGCTTCAGAGTAACCCCCTTGTGAGTACGCCATTGTCCTAAACAGATGATTCAATGGATATCAAACTGGGAAACAGTGCTTTGTATGGCTAGAGCTGACCCTTCTCCATGAAGGCTGGCCCCCAATTAAGTGGCCTCTTTCACCTATGTAATACCCTTGGCAAGTATTAATTTGTCAGAAACCAGTTTGGATGATAGTAAGGAGGAGAATGGGCGGGTCTTTATCTAGAATGGCTCACTTCAAACTGTGAACCTAAAAATGGAAATCAGCCTTTAGAACTTTTGCTCTTCTAAAAAGTGTAGGGGTAGTGAGGGTAGAGCTAGATGAGTATTGGTTTAAAGGAAGCTAGGGAAGATTTTCTGTGGTTCCCGCAGTCTTGACATTAGCAATGTCACCTTTGGGTCTTCTGAGCTCTTTGTATTACGTATGGGTGTAAGTGAGCCACCAGAAGGGCTGACCCTGTTTCCTTTCTCAGCTTGTACCTTCTGAACCACCACTACAAGCTACACTACAAAAACTAGGCTAGGGCAAGAGTTGGGTCTTAAGAGTTGACAAAAATGCTAAGATACTGGAGATGGGCACAAACTAAGGCCAATTCTTCTAGTAATATTCTTCTTATTATTATTTTTTTATAAGGATTGGCCTGGGTGATTACAGAAATAAATGCCCTGTATATAAATGTGATATTGTTTTATAAGAGGAAACCAAGGATATGAACCTGGCCTTCACAATGGCAGCAGCTTCTCCATTCAGGAACTCAATCTGAGCATTTGTAATGGGGGAAAGCCATGTAAACTAAACACTGAGCACTGCGTCCTTACAGGTGGGCACCTGTGCGAAAAGCACCTTTATGTATTTCTTAATGTAATGGACCACAGATGTCCAGTAGATGCCTCTTCAAATGTTCTCGAGCAGCAGGTAATTACTGTTGGGAGTGATAAAATCAGAGAGCTTCTGAAGTTATTTTTGGTCCCATTAGGAAAAACAGCCAAAATGGATTAACAATGCCTGCTTCAGATACAGAAATTAGGCTGGGCTGCACATGTGCCTGGCATTTTACCTTTCTGTTCTGGACTTTGCTTGTGTTGGTTGTCTGTGCAAGACTTGAGATCACTTGATTTACAGTAATCTTTATGTGACATAATTAGTTTAGAGCCTCTCATGTCCTTACTGCCTAGTTCCAGGTTTCACAAAATATGTCAAATTTAACCACTGTCTCCACCTCATCCTGTATTAATCTCTTTCCATATTAATTGAAAGGGAGTGGGCAGGTTCTTGCCTGGAATGGGCAAAGGGGCCCTGAAAGAGATGGGGGATTCCATGTGCAATTGACTAATTTCCTCTTAACTTCTGAAGGCTGAACTTTGAGATAGGGAAGAGTTGTCCAGCCACAGGTATGGAAGGAGTAATGGTGGCCGAAAACCGATATGGAAAATGTGATGACTTTGTTGGATGCCAGGTCTTTGAAACCTTAGGGGTCTCTTTGATGGCCCTCCAGAACACAGTCCACATCAATAACATTCAAGATGATTCTCTATTCCAGAATTGCATCTATGCAAAACAACAGTCAGGTTCTCAGAACCAAAGCCTCCTCTGGCCTGGAGGGCTAAAAAGACTAGGATAAGAATAATAACCCAAGAGTCCAGACAATTCCAACGGTCTCTGGATGGCTCCAACATCCCAGAAGTTTAACACTGTTCCACTTGGTTATGAAATCTAACACTGGCTTAGACACTCTGGACTCTCAGGAAGGGTTTCAGCATTTGAGGTCCCTTACTTTCCTTCCAGGATGAGAAATCCACTCATGGGAGACTTTATTTCCCATCATGTGAGCTTATGAGGATTTTCCTCCTGCAGAAGGGCTCAGAAGTAAGGAACTATGGGAAATGTGGGTCACTTTTAAGGCAGACTGTTTAGTTGTGTGGGGTTTCTCCTAACCTAGTTCTGTCATCTTAGGGTACTCAATGTGTAAGATAGAGCAGCAGGAAAAGTAGCAGCAAATGTGGTCCCAAGGCAAGATCTGGGGAATGGGTGGGATCTGGAGGGATACTGTGACCTCAAGTCTCAAGCAGGAGGCTGGTATAATACCTTAACCTTGCAGTCCTAGGCCATTTCCAGCTTGATCTCGAACCCTGGGTTTGGGGTAAAATCCCTATGGCAGCAGGAGAACTGGGGGACTTTGCATACCTTGGAATCTTTACCTCTTCCTGGGCCCTAGTCCCCTTGAAGGTTAGTGACCATAGACCGTTTCACTTCCAGTCCCAAAGAACTACACAATTGTGCATGGTCTACATGTTCTGAGCCTCAGGGTGTGAGCAATCTTGGTATCTCATTACTTGGCCCTAGCAGTTCCTATAACTCTTTAGCTCCCAAGGATAGTATTGGCTACGCACTTCAGAAAGGAAAGATTGAGTTTGTTCCAGTCTTTCTCTACTCTGTCTTCAGAACTGCCCTCACACAGATGCTTTTGTATGGAAGTGTAGGCATGCATGTGTACTAACCACAGATGTGCATGCTCTGAAGAGCACGTTTTTACTGTGGTTGTGTGACAAATGTTTAGAATTTTAGGAGGCTCTAGGACTGCATGCTAGCTATGCAATCCATCTCAGACTTTGGGATGGGATTCCATTCCATCATCCAACATGATGAGATTTGGTTCATTCTCCCTACTGTGAGTCCTTCCTGGGTGAAATTAAAGGCAGACCGGTTGGGTGCTAAGGATCCCTGGTGTGGAGAGGCCATTCCATTGAGCAGCAGACTGTGAAATCAATACCAAAGGGATGCGGGTCCTGGTGCTGGGAATTCTTTGACAACTCCTTGTCTTTCCTTATCCATGGTTGTATCCGCGGAGATCTTTCCGGCTATGTTCTTGGGCCTCAGGGTCCCGACAAGCACAGTCACCTTGTAGGTCACAAGACATAGGGAAAGGGGTGACCTGAAGAGGGAAAAAAATAAAAGGAGTGAATCTGGTGCTTTAGTTCAAAGCAATAATTGTTAGGCAGTGCAGGGAAGAGGGGACAATCACTCAATTTTGAGGAACAGAAGATTCAAGTTCAGGTCATGATTCTTCTTTTTAGCACAGTGCCTTCTTTTCATCAATAGCGCCAGAGTCATTATCAGAGCAATTTCCATTTGGAGAAGCACTGCTATGAGTTAGGAAGTGTGCTTAATGCTTTTCAGAGAAGAACAATCTTTTTTACAATTCTGTAAGAGAGGTTCTACATGAATCCCCATTCTATTGACAAGGAAACTGAGGCTGAGAAAGGGACAGACAGACATTTGCCCAAAGTGATGTGACACATCTGATACTTAAAGTAAGAAAAGCTGTCTATGGCCATACCACCCAGAACGCACCCAATCTGGTCTGATCTCGGAAGCTAAGCAGGGTCGGGCCTGGTTAGTACTTGGATGGAAGAAAAGCTACTTCTCTCTGACCCTCAGATCCCTACGTGCAGAAAACTTGTATAGTGAAACCACCTTACACTGTAAAGTATAAAGCCTGTGTAAAATCATAGGTGAAAAACTATCATGTCAAAAATTATAAACCCAAACTGGCTAATTGTACTGTGGAACATTTAACATATAGGACTACTGTTATGATCAAGTGAAATAAAAGCTGCTAAAGTGTCCTCCAAGAAGACATAACTGCACATATTGGGGGCCTGGGTTTGAAGAGAGAATGATTAAAAACAAATAAGCATGCCTCAAGGAATCTTAGACAACTACTATGAAGCTAGAAATCCAGGGGAGGAAATATCTCACAGGCAAGTTTTGAACAAACATTTGTGGGAAGAACTTCAGACACAGACTAGCCTAAGAAAAAGTGAGAGATTTGCGTTTGAGTTCCCATCCGTCCCTTCCTGTGCTCTGTGACCTTGGGTTGGTTTGTCTCTCTACAAACTGATAGGAAGAGCCCAACGGAGTGTGTCTTCCCCACCCAGCACATGATCCATCTTTCCAAAAAGCGCAGAACAGTCCCTGCTGGAGTCCCAGCCTGAACTAACGCAAGTCGATTTCACCTCATTGCATCATGACATTTGCTTATAACTTTCCCCAGAGGGTCCCCATCTGCGCAGATGGATCTAATGACCTCATTCGCCTCCTGCCTGGGCAGGGTCTCCAAGTGCTCGCTCAGTCTCCAAGAGCATCTTTGTTTCTCTTGCTTTCTCGGACTCGTGGACTCATTCTCTGTATCTAGTTATTTTTCCTCTGTTTTTTGCCCCTCCCCCTTTCTCCTCTGTTGTTTCCTTCCTTCCCTTTTCTCCACTTCAGCTTCTACCCTCTCTCTCTGTCCATCCTAAAATTTTATAATATTTTAAAATGCAGGACTAAACATCAGGAAGATTTATGTGTAAGCCCTAGCTCTCTTACCTGCTTGAGGTGTAATCTTTACCACCGGCCAGTTCTATGAGCTTCAGTGAACTCATTTACTGTATGGTAATAAGGAAAGTATATCCCCATACCTCCTAACACTGAGATGAAGGGCAAGAAGAAAAGCTGGTGAAAAAGACTTAGTACTGTGCTTAACTTAAGCTAAGTGCTATACACACAATCCCCTTTCCTCTCAATATCATCTGTCCTTCTGTGGCGAAGGAGCAGGGGCTAGGACAGTCTTATTCAATCTTGTTTTCTCAAAGCCTACGCTACAGAGTGAGTGAGAATTTCAATTCACCTCTCTCTCTGGCTGTTCCTTTGTACCTAACTAACACAGACATCTCTTTATTTTTTTTCAATCAAAATTAATAGGTGCTTGATGCTCTGCTAATCTAACTCTGTGTCTTTTCCCATGCAATACTCCTCCGTTTGCTCACAAGTTCTTGCTCTTTGTCCCCTGCTCAGAACATTTACTCTCCATCCTCTGCAGCTTTGTGAAACAAATCTAGCCTGTTCCATCTGGAATCTAGAGTAGCAATGGAAAATCTTTTAGAGCCTTCAATGATAACAAACAGCCCAACTGAGACACACATGCCGTAGGTTCACTACCGCTGATTAGGGTATTCACTTTGCAACATCTAGGATTCTTTTCTTATAATCTTTTCACTTTCAAGAGAAGCACAGAATATCAGAGTTGGAAGAGACAAACAGAGAAAAGCCTCCAGGTCCAAGTGGGGAAACGGAGGACAGAGCCGAGTTCAACAGATGGGCTAGCCTGTGCAGAGTACCACCCTTGCCGCCCAAAGGCAATGCCTAGGAGCCACTGGAACAGTTTTTGGAAAATTCCTTCACTATCATGACCCTTAGTTTCTACATCTGTAAGACAGAGATTTTAAAAAATATGTCATGTTTCATACGGTTGTGTAGCTCTAACAAGAAGAAACTTGCAGAAGCCCAGCACATACCCGACATGTAGGAGATGGTCAATGCTAAATACATATGTGCTGAATCAAATTTCTCATTGACTCATATTTCATCATCTTCCCCGCCATTGTCCCCTTCCTCTCGCCTCCCAGACATGGATAGCTCTTTGTCCTCAACTCACCCATCCCATTACCCACATTCTCCTCCTGCCCTTGCTCATCTTCTACTATTAGAATGATACAGTTACCTCTAATGCTTTCTCTGTCCATGTCTACTACTTTCCTACGGAGTCCCAAGACCCACTAGGGACAATTTGACATTGGCATCTCACACAGCTAGATATTGAACAAATTCTTTCACTCAGAATACAATTTAAAGTCTCTAGTGCAGATTCAAGGCCTTGCACCATCTGATCTCTGCACGATTCTCAGACCTCACCTGGTCCCTTTTTTCCTTCAGTGCCTTATTTATTTGTAGGTTCCGCAAATACTCCACATGTTTTCTCTCCTTTAAATATTTAGCCTTGGCTGCTCTTGCTCAATGAACACCCTCTCATTCTTTGGTTTTTATTTCAACAATCACCTCCTCCTTTACCTGCCTGGCTAAAATGGCACCATCACCTTCAAGCCATATCCCAGAAGTACCTGTTTTGTACTTCTTGTGCTGAATTACTTCTTTGCTCGTAAGCCAGCTCAGACTAGGCAGAGCTGCTGAAGTTCATCTTCACCATGGAGCAGCATTCAGTGAACCAATGGATGGGCAAAGGAATGCACGAATATACAGAAAGAATACTGCGCAAGTCAGAGAGCCTCTGCTCTTGCAATAACTCGCTAGGTGACTTTGTACAAGTTACTTCCCTATCTGGGCTTTTGTGTCCCTATAAGTATAATAAAGATTCATCTTCACAGTTTTAAATTGTCTATCTGGCTGAAAATCTTTCTCTGAAAGCAAAGATCTGGAAGGAAAGGAACTAGAAACACACTCATTCCCTACAAACTCTGTTTTCCATATTTCTCTTTCTGTCCTCCAAGTTGCATTAACCTCCCCCCAAACCATTGGCCAACATGGTCTTAGACATCATTAGTTGATCAGGCTCTTTTGGATATTCTGGCTATGTTGGAGTCAACACAGGAAGTTTTAGAATTTAACAGAGAGACATGTACGGAAACAAAAAGAAGATAAACCAAACTATGTATGACAAAGTCTAGAAAGTTTGGTCTAAAGAGGCTCAGCCAGTGCCTCCTTGTCTCCACTATAAACTTCTAAGTGCAGCTTGCCATGAGTTTGGGATTCAGCCATAGGCTACACATAGGAACTGTATGACTTTCAGCATGTTTCTGGCACTCTATGGACCTCAGTCTCTCCATCTGCAAGTCAGAAGTCCTCACAAAAACCTCCTAGTCCTCTGGTGTGGAGTCAATGAAAGTACCTAACCTAAAGTAGCTCTCAGAGTGTCCAGTGCAGAGGAGATGCACAGAGCCTTGTTCCCTGCTCTTCCCTCCTGTGAACTGCCTATGTAGAGTCTGCCTTGGAGTCTACTTTTGTCATGAGATTCCTCATGGGTCAAGTGTGTAAAGCTAGGAGAAGCTGGTGGGGAGTCCCAGCTGTTCTGAACTCTGACCTGGGAGAAACTGAAGGAAGCCTGTTGATGTAGGTTCCAGCAGTGAGTATTATCATATACACTTGCAGTTCTCAAAGACTTGCCATGTGCTGGATGATTTCCACATGCTGCCTTATTGATTCTGCACAGCTCTGGGAAGCTATTATTAAAAGCTACCTCACCTTGCATGCAAAAGAATGAGGCTTCAGAAAGTTTAAAACAAAACCAATTTGCGACAAACATTGGTACAAGGAGTAAACAGATGGTACAGAACCTTAAACTACATTCCAAACACCGAGGATTTTCAGCAAGTAACACAGACAGGAAAAAAAGGCATTTTCTTTAAATCTGACTGCTGGTTCTTTCTTGATAGCCATCAGTCTTACGATATCCTGACACTGAGAAAAATGCAATGTGTATTATCTCATTCATTCTCCCCCAATAAACCTAATTAGGCAGCTATTTTTCCTATCCCTACTTACATATTAGAGGCAACTAAGACCCAAAGAAGGAAAACACTGGCTGGCAGGTGGTCTGGAATCTGCATCCATGTTTGTAACTAGGCATCCGTACTTTTCCCCAGAAATCAGGAAAAGTGGGAGTCAGGTTCTTCCCTTCACAGAAGAAGAAACCGAGGGGCTGGGGATTTAGCTCAGCGGCAAAAGTACCTGCCTGGCAAGCACAAGGTCGTGAGTTCAGTTCCTGGTACCGGAGAAAAAACAAAAAAAAAAAAAAAAAAAAGAAGAAGAAACCGAGACAGGGAGAAAAGTCACATGCTGATAAAATCAGAGCTCTGCATCCAATTCCCAGATTCCTTGACTCTCCAAGCAGTTTCCCACTTTTCCTACACATGACCTCCCACAAAAACCTGCCACACTCAGCCTGAACTCCTCAACTACCAAGTTATATTTGGAAATTCCCAGCGCCAAGTGGCAGGGCTGTCTTATAAATGGCTTGGACACCCAGTGTGGCCTCTGTTAACCAGCCTGGTTCAATGACTCAAGACGAGCATTCTCTCTTTTTTTGTTCTCTGGGCT